AAATTCTTCCAAAAATAATAAAATCCAATTTTACGGGCCAGGCCCATCTTCACGAATTATTATTTAGCCTGCATAGATCTACGGAAAGCGTTTGACACAGTCCGCCACCAAATACTCCTCGAGTCCCTCTCCAGCGCAGGAATTGGTGGAATACCACTGCACTGGTTTGCATCGTATCTGTCGGAAAGGACACAGCAGGTTGTAACCCAACGTGGATGCTCCAGTACCTTGGTCGGCTCAAGTGGAGTTCCTCAGGGCACTGTTCTGGGGCCTGTGCTGTTCAATTTGTATGTCCGTGAGCTCCCCAAGACCGCAGAAGCGCATGGTTGTCATCTCCCCATGTTCGCCGATGACATGGTCTAACGGTTAATGTAGACAAGTCTGTTGTCTTGTTCCTCTCCCCATCTCCAGCCCCAATCCCGCCTCCACTAATCTCCATAAATCATGTCCCTCCGACCGTTGTTGACTCAACCAGAATCCTAGGCGTTACCATAGACTGCCGCTTGACCTGGACACCCCATATTGATGGCATTGTGCGCAAGGTGTCAAAGAAGACAGGCGCTTTCCGGCGCTCTTTGAGATGTTTGTCAATACCTGCTCGCCGTTCATTCATTCTTGCTGTCATTCTCCCGGATCTTTTGTATTGCTCCCCTTCTTTCCTCACGAAGTTGTCTGCTCAGGATAGGAACAGATTACAATCACTGTTTCGGCGTGCTGTTCGCGCAGCATGTGGCGCTGACCACCTTGATGACCCTGGTACATTATTACGCAGGTTATCGCTGTTTCCTTTCGATCAATATGTGCTAATGTCCTTTGCTAGATTTATGCATCGCAATTTTGTCTCTCACCCTCTACCTTCGCTCTCCTCCCTCTTCCCCAAGCCTCGTGCTGCCCGTTGTACGAGGAGCCAAACCACCCCATCCATTGCAGTGAACAGATTTCGTACTTCTGATGGTGTCAATTCTTTTTCTAACCGTGCTGCATTGTTCTTTAATGCACTACCCTCTGAACTCCGCAGTTCTTCACACACTCAGCATTTCATGCAGAAATTCAACAACTTTTTGAAGGACCCAATGCAGGTCAACCGCTTTCTTAACTTCCTTTTTGGCCGCGTTACCAATGTGTAGTGAACGTTGTGTATCCTTGAGTGACCGTTGTATATCCTTATTGACTTCTTTTTCCTTGGTGCAAGTCACACTCCATGTATGTTCTTCATTATCTTTACCTTTACTGGGTCTTCACATTGTCTATAGCCTCATCTTTTAACTTTTCTTTTTCCCTCACCGGCGCTCTTTGAGTTTGTGTGTCAACACTGTTGAGTTGTTCGATGTTAAATAAATACTACTGTGTCTACTATGTCTATTATTTGAGTAGTGCCAGTGGTGTATAACTACCGTGTGAAACATTCCTCCTCCTTCCTACTTTTGTTCCCTGCATTCGCTCTCATGTAACTGGGCTTCGAACCTGTTTGTTCTTGCGAATTCAAAAGAGGAATACAACAACAACAACAACAACAGCAGAAGCGACAACGCCATTGTGAGACTAAAGATTTCAAACAACAACAGCAGCAGCTAGCCCCTGCAGCCTGGCGGATAATGCTGGAAAATTGGCAGATTCTGTTTGAATGGCAGGTCCATACAAACCTTGGCTGCAGGCCAGGCACTTCCCTGAATTCTGCTCCATTTCTTCATCCACATACCAAACAGGTTTAAAACATTCCAGAAAAGTACTAAATTCTGCCAATTTTCTGCTGTCATTCTCCGCCAAGGGCAGCAACGGCAACAACCGTGAAAAAGAGCAAGTGATCGTCTCCGTTCTCGAGGGAAGTCACGACGCCGCTAACAACCCGGTCGGAAATAAGAGTTCTTCACGATGATGATAATCAACAGCCGTAACCCCTAGTAACCCCTAGTAACCCCTAGTAACCCCTAGTAACCCCTAGTAACCCCTACTCTTGATTCGAGAGTTATGATGTTACTCACTTTCACAGTTCAGGCCATACCTGTAATTATGGTGTGAACACGATGGTGTATGACTGCAGTGCTTTCACAGCATTACATGACATGGCCTCTGCGCCGGCCGTGGGAATATCACGGTCTCTCGCGCGCTGCTCTCACCATTCCTGAGGCGAATTTCCTTTAAAAAAAATTCTTTTTTATGAGGTCTGACTTCGAGCAAAATGCAATACAACACTGGAGAGACCATTATCACCAGGGTACGCGTACATGTAGATCATGTACATGTACAGTCATGTGCTGATGTAGTGATGTCGTGTAGATGTATTGATGTAGTGATGTCGTGTAGATGTATTGATGTAGTGATGTAGTGATGTCGTGTAGATGTATGGCATTGCTAGTAGTAGTATTCACACCGTAGATAACTAGCAATAGTAGCATGGTCTCTAGCTCACCGCTGTGTGATGTGAATACCGGGTCTTTCTTCCCTACACAGTACACTGACGAATTTGCTGCAGACAGATTTAGGCGGCTCAGGAATATCGAATGCGAATGCTGTTATCTTGCTCTGTGACAGTACAGCACGTGTACCGGTACAATGTCATGTTATATTCTTGCTTCTCGTACTGGCACACTCATCTGCAAATGAGTTTTTAATAATAGGCTTTCCGACGTTTCGCTAGAATGCTACCGTGCCGAACATGGAAGGACTTATAATATTAGGTTACTTCAAAGAAGTAATGGGTTTGCTCCTACACTGGAGCTCGCGCTATTCCGCCGACTTGACACTTGACTGCGGAATAGCGCGAGCTCCAGTGTGGGAGCAAACCCATTCCTAAAAAATCATCGCCGAAGTCGCAACCACTATTCCGTTCAAAGAAGTAGTTCAATCATTTCCCCCGAGCCCCGCCACTCGATGCTCGAATTGTTGGCGTGGTTGATAGCGATGCTTCTGGTTGGCCTTAGTTCAGGCAATGGTGGGACTAACAGTCGATGAATCACCACCTGCCTATTTTAACCACACAATACAGTCATGTACATGTAAGTACTTTTTAACCACACAATACAGTCATGTACATGTATTGAAACCCGACAGCGTGCCACATGTTTTCCAACACCCGGCTTCTTCAGCTATGGAATCAATCGCGATGTCTAGGCACCATCATGGCGGGTTATCAATTGCCTGTACATTACAAACGGACACATATTTGCACGCTGTTTTAAGCGATAGCACTGCAATGCCCAGTTATTGTCGCCCACTGGATCATGAACAGTTACTGTTACTGAAGAGTGAAGTACATGTGCATCACCATACGTGTAGATGCACTAGTACCAATACATTAGCTGTATGGGCGTTTAATGCACCGACTTCTGTGACCCCAACCTTGTGCCAAGCCCCGTTGAGTGTTGGGTTGGCGCGGCGTACTCAGACAAGCCATAGTAGCAGCGCCTGACCTAATTCTGCAACCTTCCTCTAGACATTGCATTTGTAGAACAAATCGTGAATATTGCATCAAGGCCATTACCCTGATTATCTTTCCACTCTGGTGCCGGAGTCGCTCTGTACACTGTGTGTGAGTGTGCCAGCCGGAACAACTACCAAGTCTACAAGGCGATCATGTTGGCTAAGGTTGCATGCTGCATGGGCCAGCGTCTGCCACGCTACATTCATGGCTGCTTGCCTTCATAAGGAAAACGTTTCGATCCGACATAAAGGTGAAATCAAAGCAGTGGCAGTGCGTTAACTAGCTACTTGCGTCGAAAACACCTCCGTTATGCTACTGGCGTAGTACAATACACCATTCTACTAGCATTTCCTGGAGTGCACAACCTATTGTGGCTAGTCTCATAGTCGAGTCCTCAACGTAACCTTACTAGTACTTCCCAAGGACTTGTATTTGGATAGTGATACTTGCATTGTACTTGCATTGTACTGACATGTACTCAGTCTTCACTACACTGTACCTACATGTCACATGACTGTATAGTATAGTATAGCCTATGCAAATGGTAGAGTAAGCATGGCGTACACGTACACTAACCTACATCGCTAGTATGGTCATGTTATGTACACTTGACTGTCTCCGGCACTTCCAATGTTAGTGTTCTACAGTCATTGTATACATGTAGTGGTACATATACAGTCATGCACATGATGTACATGACTGTATATTGGCCTAAGCTAGGTATCTTGAGCGAAAGTAAAATTGTTGGTTCTGATAAGTGATGGAGACCGCTCGCTGCACTCCCGTCGCCGGTCGTTTGGTTGGTCGGCAGGATGACACGCGACGCATGAGCGGACGCACACTCTCTCGCACACTCTCGCAGCAGCCTAGCCAGCTTGCACTGTAGTCTGTAGTCTCAATGCTTCCGCCTCGGAGCAGGCTCAGTGGTCGAAGCAGCACATACTACAGGGACCCTGCACCACCCTTCTGATATTCTGCACGAGTCCCCTGCACCACCCTTCTGATATTCTGCACGCCATGAGTCTGTCCTGATCACGATCCTTTCAGGCGAGCAAGGAAAGCTGCCGAGCCACTAGCACTACCAATAATGGAAATACTATCTTCTGTATTGTAGTGCTAGTCCCCCCCCCCCCTCCCCCACACACACTATACACTAGTAAACTAGCAATTGCGTCATGTAGCATTGTTATACTTCGGTATATCAGACTCACGGATGACTGTTGCAGTGCTGACTCTCCTGAGACTGATCACTGTTGCAGTGCTGAACTTGGGCACTGTTGCAGTGCTGAGCTTGGGCACTGTTGCAGTGCTGAGCTTGAATTGGGCACACTCAATCATACTATATGTAGACATACATAGGCATTTGCATTACAGTGTACATTGCAGTGTAGTGGTACCCACACTACCCGGAATGGGTACACTGGTGTATTGTATACAGTCATGTACAGTGTATTGTATACAGCGTTGAGTATACAGCGTTGAGTATACAGCGTTGAGTATACAGCGTTGAGTATACAGCGTTGAGTATACAGCGTTGAGTATACAGCGTTGAGTATACAGTGTTGAGTACAGTATTCATTGTGTGGTAGATATCCCGACTGTGCTGCACCTGCGCATTGGCCACACACTGTTGCCTGTGGCCTGGCCTCTACTTGTATACGCGTCCTTGCTCACTGCCAACTGCACACAGTCAACTACAAAGAAGTTCATACTTGGTGCGATCGGGGCGGAGGAACACCCAGCTTGTGTGTGGATGATTGCTTATTGCCATTGGCACAACCAGCAAGTTTTGATGTGAGGACCTTCTTGCTACCGTTTTGGGCGGCGCAAGAATACACCAACGCTCTTGTGAGGTGCATTTTGGAGCGCGCGTTGTGCACTGTCGTGGTGGTCAACACATCGTGCAGTAGACGGGGGTTATCTTTCACTTTGCTTGCTTTCAGTTTCACTGTCTTGGCGTGCGGTGGCCGCATGATATCAGTGTTGGCGTACAGAGGTGGCTCGGCGGAGTGTCAGGGATAACAGTACAGTTAGTGAAGACAGTGTTGTTCGTGGAAGAAGGAGATGTGCCGTTACATATGTAGCTGAGGGTGGCAGATCAAGTTACTAAATCAGCACATCTCATCAGAACGAAGAGTAACGGAGTTCACGGTGACGTGTATACTAGTAGTGTGCACTCTTGAACGGCTCTCCCCTGCGAGAGCGTCGTCATATTCAGAGTAGCGTTGCCAGTGTCAGTGATCACGATGATCCAACTCAGACGGAGAGTACGAAACGGCGGTGATGGTGGTGGAGGAGAGATGTTCACTCTTCCTGGACTCAACGTTTGGACCGTGTGCGTGTGCTTGATAGTACTAGTGACGATAGAGACAGTCCTGGCCTGCCCAGGCCAGTGTCAGTGTAATAACGGTCAGGTTCGATGTCAAGGCGCTGGACTTCGCTCCTTACCGCAGGGAATACCCCAGCATGCCAGCCTATTGTAAGTATACTGTTTGGCTGACATGTTTGTCTAGTCTCCGTCCTCCATTCCAACGTTTGTATCTGTATTCCCAGTTTGGTCTGAATTACTCGTACATGTACATGCACATTGTACTAGTAGGGGTGGGGGTGTTCAGTATTCATGCTTTATAGGGAACAAACTGATCTTGTGGAGAATTAAAAAAAAATTCAAATTACAATAAAACGAATCAACCCTCTTGTCCCCTACCCGTAGCATCATACATGCAAGAAGGAGCAGAAGAGATCGCGTAGCTTCATCCATTAATAGTGTCTTTACTGCATGCCAAGGCAGGGAAGTTGATACTGGACCTTTTGTACATATCAGTGAAAATCGAGTCTGGAAAATGGAATTGAGATGGTCTTGGTTTGACATTGGGGACTGTTTTCTCTTTATGGATGACCTGTATGTCTCAAGTCGTGTGATAACGTTGCGTGATGACCAATCTCAATAGGATTACCATGACATACGGTTATCTGATTGCGAGGGTTCATACGTCCATGGCCACACAGTGTTATTTGTTCTCAGGCTTACTTTGCTCTCGTCTCGAGGTGCGAATTTCCGCCGGATTGCACGTATATCACTCGAAATGTGCTCCTCTTGAAAAAGTCTAAAATGTTCGTGTAGGACTAGGTCAGGAAGTCATCGTTTCAGATTGTAAACGTGTAGTCAGCTTCGCCTGAGGTGTCTGGCAGATGGTCTCCCGCAGTATATTACTACAACGGCTACGTGTAAAGGCGTTGCGCAAGTACACGAGCAGTATCGAGTTGTAACGCTAATAACTATAGTGGTGAGGCGAGTGACCTGGCATCGTGTGATTTTCAACCTTTTCGCCTCCTCTCCCCTCACCGGCCTCTCCTTTAGAAGTTGAGTCTCATCCTATGCTTACCCAAGGGTTAAAGCCGCTGATTGTTATGGGTCGCAAAGGCAGTAGTCGTATCAGGCCACATACATGTGCAAGACGAGCCTGCGTTCAACACAGCTTTGCTGTGTCGTTACTTCCTCTAACTTACATGATGTACATGTATGGATCCTTCCACTGGCTCTTGGACAAGCTAACCGATCTGCGCAGATAAAGGCCGACGAGCTAGGGTGGAAGAAACTAAGCTGAAGCATCCAATCAACACGCCAGTAGCTCCAGCCACTAACTCCCACTAGTACGTGAAGTAACCAAGTCTTAGTTCTCTTGGTACATCGTGGGATAGTTCCTGTGCATGATAGGTACTACTAAGGCACAATGACATACAGGGCCTAGGGACGTATGGCAAGACCTGCTCGACCCACAACGTACAGGAGTGCTCGATGAGTAAAGCTTTCCACAGCTCATCCACTAACCGTGCTTCCGAGTCACACATAATGAAGTCTTAGTCACGAAAGGCAGTGTTCAAAGCAGTTCACCCGCTATCTGCCGGTTTCAGTTTCCCCAGTTCTGCCTGCTTCTCCCAAACAGGCTGGCCATGCGCAAGGCCGCGCGCAGAAGCGCTACAGAAAACTAAGCCTTCACTCCCTGGTATTCAAGGAGCTCATCCGTTTGTCGGCAGACTTCGCATTTCTCTTTCCTCGCCAGTGGTCACACGGAACTTACCGGAATTCTTAAACTGCGCGCAGGCCCGGATGTTCGTCTTAAAAAAATCCCTCTTCTTTTAGCGTCGCACTTACACCGAGTATACAGTCATTGTGCATGTGTTTTGAACCGTGTCGTAACGGTGGTGCGGCTGCATGTGACGATGTCTTCATTTTCACTGGACCGTCATTTTAAAGGACTTATTCTCACTCCACATGGAAACGTGAAGCTGCGCATCCTCCTGAAGGCGAGCTTTTTGAACGCCCTTAGCTGTATGTACACTGCTCTATTGTGCTGCCTCTGCCAAGGCGATCCGGCCAGTTCTCTCTCCGGCAGACAGTGAAATCTCCGTGCGTCCCCCCCCCCTGACTGCATCCTCCGAGGTCGTCTATAAAGTAGAATACTATTGTACACACATACGTTTGGAGGTCCATGTCACGTGGAAAGCGGAAGGATAGCTAGCGACTGCCCGGCCCTGTAGGCTGTACTCATGGTACTCGCCAGCCGATAATGACTGTAATAAATAATAATTAATTATATCTGGTACTGTGATAGTGCTACTACTACTAGAAAAAGTGGAACTGACGCTATTGTTCCAGCTAGACTGAACCTGATGATTCAATGTCTAGCTAGCCACACAACATCGCACACACCGGTTGACAAAATGACAGGTCAGCCCCAAACAGGGCCGACGCGGCGACGGGGAATTACCCTACACTCTCCAAGGCAACAGACAGTGCAGTGCAGTGGCAACACGGAGTCCAGTGCACATAACTATAAGTATTAGTTCCATAAACACACAAGATAGCCTTCGCTTCCGCAGGCCACCGCTATGCCTTTACACCTTAGTGGCGAATGCAGACCTCACAAGTGAGTCAGGGGAGAGGAGGTGAGTCTCTCAACCAATCGGGCGTGTAACGGCCCATAACCCTAACGTTAGTTGGACAGAGTCAAGAAGATTCAAGACATTCACACTTCACTCTTCCTGCTTCAGCCTGTTCAGGCTTTCGAGCACGCCAAAAAAAAGAAAAAAAAAGGAAAAGCTAGAGCTAGACTAGAGAGTAGAGTAGAGTACGAATGATTACCACATTCCATGGTTATCATGGTTATGTCGTAATGACGTTTTATTCTCGACACAGACTACGTCAGTGTAGATGATGATCAAGGCTTACGCGTAGATGATGTTTATGTAGCGATGAACACAATGCGTCAGGAATCACTCAGGATACACCAGGAATATGGAGGTCATCGTCGAACCGGAGGAAATGGCAGTGCTGAGCTCGTCGTCACCTCGCCGTGACAGGACCACTTGACTCTCTGTTCTCCCCAGGACGGTACTGTGCTGTGCTGCTGCCAATACGGCAATAGACAATGCGCTGGATGGCGAATCTCAACACCCCGGTTGTGGGAGATTGAGTGGGGATCAAAATTCAAGCGGTAGATCTACGCCATAGCTGAACCGCTAAGATCACCTGGGCTTTGTAACGAGATCCCCGTGGCAGAACGCCGGACGTGTGTTTCTCGTCACTCACATGGACTAACCACCAAGGTCATAGCCCAGAGCGAAGTGGCGAAACTAAAAATGCACAGAACGCAACCAGCGGATATTGCTGAAGTGAGAATGGCAGTGGTACAGTGTAATGCAGTGCATGCAATAATAATTGGTACTTGGAACGAATACTCAACGAACGTTTGTAATTTCCAAAAATGTGTTCACTACCAATGATTGTAGTATCAGTGTAGTGATATGGCTGAGGCCAGGGAGTACAGTAAACATGGTAGAACTGCCCAGATCCGGGTTGCAGGCTGGGACCGAACACTGCCCGTAATAAGGAATTGCCCCTAACTCAGAACTTACATACTTTTCTTTTTCTTTTTTTCTTTTATTTCACCTTCCCGTGGCCAGAGAATATAGGCCAATATGGAGGGAGGGGGCGGTAGCCAGCCATGGCAGTAAACAAAAACAAAGCAAAAATAAATAAATATTACACATTACTGGAGGCAAAGAGAAACAAATCTGGATGAAGAATTACTTACCGCACGCACGAAAATATTTTTATGCTAATCAATATGACTGTTTTGGGGCTGTTTTTCGTTGAAAAGCCGTTTTGTGACTGTAGATGGGTGAGAAAGGTGTCCGGATTTTGGGACGTTCGGATCTGGGCAGTTTTACTGTAGTACAATATCGGTATCATAATATGTGTTTCATGGTGCGGACAGCGGGAACAAGGCGAGGACGCACTGTATGGGAAACAAGGCGAGGACGCACTGTATGGGAAACAGTCGCCTTGTTCACGCTGTCACCATGAAAACATGTTACCTATGGCAGGCAAGGCTTGCATATACAATGTTACCTATGGCAGGCAAGGCTTGCGTATACAATACCGATATTTTACTCTACATCGGGATTGTACTCCCTGGCTGAGACCGGCCTTGCTGCTGACTACATTGGGGATACGTCGAAGTAGTCTGTGCAGTACTTGCTTAGTTGTATCTCGCTGCATATCCACGTGGTGTGCCAGTGGCTCATGTGTTTTCCTCCTCCGCCTTGTTTTGTGCATTCCCCAGGGATCTTCAAGACAACTTCATCAATGAGCAGACATTGAGCATGCACGGTAGAGGTGGTCAGCTGAGAAATTCTATGCTCCTTCACATGTAAGCATACAGGTCACGGTACTGATACACACTGCAGCCAGGGGCATAGGAACCGGTGCGGCAGGTGCCAAGCCGCACCAATAATTTCATCTTGTGATCTTTGAAGCAATAAAATATGGGTTATTTGGGTCCAATTTTCCAAAAGCATTTACGGGGGAGGACCCCCGGACCTGCATCTCTTCATCACCGCACCAATGTCGAATACCTTCAGACACCCTGACTGCACAAAGATGGCTAGCGTTGAATCCTGGAACAAAAATACATTGTTCTACAGTCCTGGGCAGAGAATTTCGACCTCATGATTATGTTAGCGTGGTCCTAGCACCACACACACACACACACACACACACACACACACACACACACACACACACACACACACACACACACACACACACACACACACACACACACACACACACACACACACACACACACACACACACACACACACACACACACACACACACACACACACACACACACACACACACACACACACACACACACACACACACACACACACACACACACACACACACACACACACACACACACACACACACACACACACACACACACACACACACACACACACACACACACACACACACACACACACACACACACACACACACACACACACACACACACACACACACACACACACACACACACACACACACACACACACACACACACACACACACACACACACACACACACACACACACACACACACACACACACACACACACACACACACACACACACACACACACACTGTGACACACTGCTCTGCACACTTGAGCATAGTGCTACTTTATTCATGAGGTTGGATTTCTGTGCGGGCCACAACTCTAGTTTCCAGCCTAGTACATGTACATGTACATGAATACCGGTCCCGGAAATAGGACTCGTGAAATGTGAACGTGGACATCACCATCACCCTGACTGTGTGTATGTGTGTGTGTGTGTGTGTGTGTGTGTGTGTGTGTGTGTTTGTGTTTGTGTGTGTGTGTGTGTTTGTGTGTGTGTGTGTGTGTTTGTCAGCTACTTTGAAGCAGGAGCATAGACAGGAGGTTGTTGTGGTGGTGGTGGTGTAGGTGGTGGTGGGGAGGTTCAGATGAGTTTTCACTGACAGTTTTCCCATTTGCACCTTTCCCTCAAAGTAATGAATATGACAGTCAGTTTGTGTACATCTACATGTATATTGTAGAGCTAAGACAATTGAACCGGCGAAGCGGTGCGACATGCATTCACAAGATGCGCTCTGCAATACTGTTCAAGGTCGTGGTCACATATGTCCTTATGGGTGCTAGGAAAGTTGAAGAATGCTAAGAGATGTAAACTGGGAGTGAGGGATTAGCTATCACGGTTGTGTTTATCCCCCCTCTCCTGCATGGATGCCAGCTGACGCACGCCACCCATAGAAATATACTAATGAATTCTCCAGCAGTTCATCAGCACACATCGACTGATCTATTTCATGTGTCGGATGCTGTCTTGTTCATTCTCGGCTTCTGTGCTGCAGTATACTGGAGAACAACCACTTCCGGGTTCTGCACAGCAATGTGTTTGCCGCTATCAACGGCCGCGCCCTGGCTATACTGTGAGAATCACCACTAAAACCAAAACTTATTCCCGCACATGCTGTACACTAGTGTACACCCAGCAGCAGCAGCAGCAGCTCTATCTGCCCTATTCACCCTGTCTATGATGGACAAAGCATAGAGACCCATTACCCACATGCACCGGTACTTGTACACGTGTACATGTATGGAACACATGTTTTCATTACAAATGCCAATAACTAAAAATGCGCAGGCTGACGTGACTACTCACAGTACTACTGGCCATTGACTCACAGTACTACTGGCCATTGACTCACAGTACTACTGGCCATTGACGTGACTACTACTGGCCATTGACGTGACTACTACTGGCCATTGACGTGACTACTACTGGCCATTGACGTGACTACTACTGGCCATTGACGTGACTACTACTGGCCATTGACGTGACTACTACTGGCCATTGACGTGACTACTACTGGCCATTGACGTGACTACTACTGGCCATTGACGTGACTACTACTGGCCATTGACGTGACTACTACTGGCCATTGACGTGACTACTACTGGCCGTTGACGTGACTACTACTGGCCATTGACGTGACTACTACTGGCCATTGACGTGATTACTACTGGCCATTGACGTGACTACTACTGGCCATTGACGTGACTACTACTGGCCGTTGACGTGACTACTACTGGCCATTGCCGTGACTACTACTGGCCATTAACGTGACTACTACTGGCCATTGACGTGACTACTACTGGCCATTGACGTGACTACTACTGGCCATTGACGTGACTACTACTGGCCATTGCCACGGGCTCACTGTAGGAACTTCGCTGTTTTCATGGTTTTCGGTTGTCATGTCCGGACTACCCGGACTACTAGTAATCTGCTTGGACAGGTCAACCCGAACAGCGGTGCATGTCTATTATTGATTGTACCGGCATTCAGTCAGCTCTGCAACTATCAACCCCTGACCGAACATGGGAAAGTAATACTGATAAAACGTTATTTGCGAGTTGTCATTATTTGTGAGGTTGAAAGTTTAATATGGTGCAGTCAAATGGTTACTTGGTCTGAGGATAGTGTCGTATTCGCGTGTTGCTATACCCAGTGTTGCTATACCCAAGGGTGTTGCTATACCCAATGGTGTTGCTAGCTATACCCAATGGTGTTGCTATACCCAATGGTGTTACTATACCCAATGGTGTTGCTATACCCAATGGTGTTGCTATACCCAATGGTGTTGCTATACCCAATGGTGTTGCTATACCCAATGGTGTTGCTATACCCAATGGTGTTGCTATACCCAATGGTGTTGCTATACCCAATGGTGTTGCTATACCCAATGGTGTTGCTATACCCAATGGTGTTGCTATACCCAATGGTGTTGCTATACCCAATGGTGTTACTATACCCAATGGTGTTACTAGTATTGATGAGGTTGACTATACATGTACACGTGTACAATGCCCCATTCACTGCTCTGCGCTGTTCTTCTAGGAATCTGCAGAATAACTGGATCGCACAGATTGCGGGTGGTGCCTTCAGGAACTTTGGCAACCTACGTCAGCTGTAAGTCACTCAGCACACACACGCACGCACGCACCCCCCCCCCCCCCCCCCACACACACACAGGCGCGTAGCCCATGAAGGGCACGGGGAGCATGTGCACCCCCTAAATCTATTGGCCTTCGTCCAGTACATGTAACTTATGTTCATGTTTGGGCTAAATGGCCCAGGGACCGCAGCTTAGGGCCAGCTGTGAGCCCAGAATTGACTGTCATTGTGCAAAGTCGAATACTATTGTACTTGTAGGTAGCTGTACTCACGGCTGCATTGCCGTACTTGTACAAATAATCTGTCCAATAATAAACCTACTGCTGTTGAAAGTACAAGTTCCTTCACGGATATTTCCACGGTGGAACCCCCCCCCCCCTAAATAATGGGGTTAGCTACGCCCCTGGCGCATTTCGTGAAGGATATGTCATATCCGGCCCAAGTTGGTGGATTCGTCTGGCTATGATGCCTATAGACCACTGGTACATGCATGTGTGTCACTGCTACATTCTCCCCTGGCCCCTGCCATACAACATTACCTTTGTGTACTGCGCATACAACCATTATCTTAGGCTTGCATCTACAACACTGTGGAGGGCAAGCGAATAATGTATTCTTATTTGATGTGGTAACTACAGACCCTCGCAGCATCATTACTAGGGCCTATATAGTACACTCTGCCAATACTCCCATGCTACAAGTACACTACTATCCTCTTTGGTCCTCTCCTGACGGTGGCTACAGTCTGCTAGCTGAGAGTGTACATATCCATGTGGAGTGACTTGAACAGGCTGAACATTTGGAATCATGAAAATACATTCTCACGGTCTGCAATTGTGTGTATGCAGGCTGCTGGGAAACAATCGTCTTCAAGCAATCTCGCCGGGTGCTTTCCATGGTCTCAGGTCCCTTACAAGCCTGTAAGTGAGAATGCTTGAACTGGCGAGTATTGACTAACATAGTAGCGTGCAGGAATAGGTTCATAGCTTACCAGCCCCTGAATCTAAGTATCCTAGTCTCGACTGTGATTGCAGGGCCCGCTGTCATGACATGAGCAGGTGTTGAATATCGTTACTTGTGCATGAATGGTCTCGGGTTGCTGATTTGAATTCCTTTTAACGAAGTTGTTTTCAACGGTATGGGCTTGATATGGTCAATGGAATTCTGAGCTATAATTATACACCCCGTGCCCGTCGCCGTGGTGTATTTAGTATTATGTGTGTCTTGATATGTGGCATGGTATGTTGTGCTGCAGACAAATGGACCAGAACCTTCTGACTCACATCCCTTTTGGCCTCTTCAACCCAACACCCCACATCATGGAACTGTAAGTACTGTGCACGACACATGTCACATGTCACGGTTGTTCACTTGACACTCAGTTAGGCTGTCGGAGTTTTCAGCATCTGTAGGAACGCCACCACCCTTCAAAGATCTAACTAAGGCGCAGATGCAGCTCCTAAAGCGGTGGGAGGTGAGTAGATCAGCCCACCAGCAAAGTGGTCAAAGACCGAAAATCGCATTCGCTGCATTCATGTTTCCCTCGTGCCATGCCACTTTTGAAGTTCCCAATTAACTTTGGCCCACAGCACGGCTGGAAAAATCCTCCGCTTCCAAGCAGGATATGAACCTGGTACCCTCTGTTTCTCAATCATGGCCTTAGACCATCCCACTATGCCTGCCTGCAAGTATTGTGCAAGGCCGCAGTAAATCATCGAGTAGACACCCGGCGTGCAGTGCCGACGGCTATAGACAGGATAGTATTGGGGGTCAGCCCGGTATAACTGTACCTGGCTGACCCACTGGGTACAACTGTACCTGACTGACCCACCGGGTACAACTGTACCTGGCTGACCCACCGGGTACAACTGTACCTGGCTGACCCACTGGGTACAACTGTACCTGGTACCCACTGGGTAAAACAGTTGCTGTACCTGATACCCACTGGGTACAACTGTACCCGGCACCCATCTCCTGAGCCAGGTCATCTACCCCCGGAGGTCAAGACTCCACAATACAACACTCATAGCAATAGTACATAAGGTCCCAAGATTGTGCAACTCTGGATACCCTTTCTATGGGGTCTGCTGCCGACGGCGGAAACTCACATCACGTGGCAAGCTGAAGTGGATTACCAATAGATCCGCTCGACCTCAGACAATGAATGCGATTGAAAGGTTTCCTATGAAAGATATGACCCCCCCCCTCTCTTCCAACTGGCAATACCCAAAATGTGCTAATTACAGGACCACTTTTTGGATTTTCTTTCTACAGGAGTATTAGCCGTAATAGACTTCAAGCGCTCTCTGGATGTGTGTTTGCCAATTTGTCCATGCTTCGCGACTTGTGAGTACCTTGGGACACTGTGGTAAACTGTGAACTTCTTCAACTGCAGGGTGCTTATTCAAATAATTCCAAGTCTGATTGCCCTGTGCCCCATTTTCACAATGGATGATCAATTCTCTAGTTTACATTCAATGTGGGTGGTGATGAGTTGAGTTATGGCTGAGTCTCAGGCTCGTTCGAGTGAGACGACGTGATCAGGTGCAGGTCTATGCAGAGTAAATGCACCTGCTATCTGGTATCCATAGGTTTTGTCACGATTGGTATCCATAGGTTTTGTATTGGTATCCATAGGTTTTGTATTGGTATCCATAGGTTTTGAATTGCTTCCTGTGAGAAACCGAAGTCGTGCATGTTCCAACTAAATGCACTGCAGCAATCAGTAAAGAACCTACCGACTACGAAAGGTACGAAGTGACTGCAACTAAAACAACTAACATCAAGAACATGAGAACAACGGAAGATATAGAAAGCGAGAACAGCAGGACAGTGCGTAGATTATTCATGCTCGGATACGGTACGATGCACACAGAGAGTGTGCTCAGGTTACACACTCACACATAAATGGTGATAACATGTGAATGCACAAGGGAGGGCATAGAAAGGTCAACCACTGATCTGGATTGTACATCCGTAACCAGTGGTAACAGTGGTCAGTTACGGCTAGGCTATAGCATACAATGCGTGTAACAACCATGAATGAGTCTCGGTCGACCTACCAGGCATGACCCGCACTAATGCACTGGACTACAACTATCAAAAACAAAAGAAAGACTGGAATATTCTAGAACAAATCTAACAGTGCAGGTAATCCGTTTTGTGTAATATAGATTTATCCCACGCACATTCCTTATGCTAACAGTTGCATGCACTCATAGCTCACTCCGCAGAGGCAGTGTGCCTAGAGTGCTGAAGGTTGGTGATGCGCGGGGTAGAGTGCAGTACACAAGCGACACACGAAGGAAAGTAGGGTTTTTTGTTGTTCAAACCTTACTCCTGTATCATTCCTTAGTTCATGCACCATCACCAGCATACTGCACCATACTAGCATACTGCACCATACTAGCCTGCACTGCACCATACTAGCCTGCACTGCACCATACTAGCCTGCACTGCACCATACTAGCCTGCACTGCACCATACTAGCCTGCACTGCACCATACTAGCCTGCACTGCACCATACTAGCCTGCACTGCACCATACTAGCCTGCACTGCACCATACTAGCCTGCACTGCACCATACTAGCCTGCACTGCACCATACTAGCCTGCACTGCACCATACTCATGATACTAGCCTGCACTGTACCATACTAGCATACTGCACCATACTAGCCTGCACTGTACCATACTAGCCTGCACTGTACCATACTAGCCTGCACTGTACCATACTAGCCTGCACTGCACCATACTAGCCTGCACTGTACCATACTAGCCTGCACTGCACCATACTAGCCTGCACTGTACCATACTAGCCTGCACTGCACCATACTAGCCTGCACTGCACCATACTAGCCTGCACTGCACCATACTAGCCTGCACTGCACCATACTAGCCTGCACTGCACCATACTAGCCTGCACTGCACCATACTAGCCTGCACTGCATGCACCATACTAGCCTGCACTGCACCATACTAGCCTGCACTGCACCATACTAGCCTGCACTGCACCATACTACTAGCCTGCACTGCACCATACTAGCCTGCACTGCACCATACTAGCCTGCACTGCACCATACTAGCCTGCACTGCACCATACTAGCCTGCACTGCACCATACTAGCCTGCACTGCACCATACTAGCCTGCACTGCACCATACTAGCCTGCACTGCACCATACTAGCCTGCACTGCACCATACTAGCCTGCACTGCACCATACTAGCCTGCACTGCACCATACTAGCCTGCACTGCACCATACTAGCCTGCACTGCACCATACTAGCCTGCACTGCACCATACTATTACTAGCCTGCACTGCACCATACTAGCCTGCACTGCACCATACTAGCCTGCACTGCACCATACTAGCCTGCACTGCACCATACTAGCCTGCACTGCACCATACTAGCCTGCACTGCACCATACTAGCCTGCACTGCACCATACTAGCCTGCACTGCACCATACTACTAGCCTGCACTGCACCATACTAGCCTGCACTGCACCATACTAGCCTGCACTGCACCATACTAGCCTGCACTGCACCATACTAGCCTGCACTGCACCATACTAGCCTGCACTGCACCATACTAGCCTGCACTGCACCATACTAGCCTGCACTGCACCATACTAGCCTGCACTGCACCATACTAGCCTGCACTGCACCGGCACACCATGTACAGTGTACCATGTACCATGTACCATACTATGTATTATTAATTTTCTTCGTTGCACAGGGAATTGGATCACAATGCTTTGGGAAGAATTGACGAGAATGCCTTTGCTGGTCTGTCTAACATGCGCAACCTGTAAGTTGTCTGTGCTTTGAAAGCGGCTTACTTCGTTAGACTCTCAATTACGTCATAGTTGCGTCAAATTAAATAAAGAAAAGAACCTTGAGTTAAAAGCGAGATGTTGAGCATCAGAGATGAAATAGTCGGTAGCTGCCTTTTTTCATGGCACCTGAGAGAAATCCTGATTGCACGGGGTTTGAACTTGTAAGCATTCACTTGGAAAGCACGGCAATGCCCGACCAACTCCTTTCTGCTGTTTTGTGAGAAAAATGGCAGTACTTTATGTGCTTGAAATCCCCTCAACCGCTTATGCACTCATGCAACCAGGCAGCCAGGGCATCCACACAGAGGCTACCATATCCTAGCTCCGTTAAGCAGGGACTGGAGAACTTCTTGCCACCAGTCAGGATCACGAATTACAATGTCTCTTCTCTTAGAGTAAAGAAAAGGACCAAGGAACTACAAGTTACGCTATAATGTCCACCGGTTACCTGACGATCAGCTCATGCGATAACCAAGACGTGCTAAAGCCGATAGCCAGTTAGTGATAGAATGTCAGTACTGTCGGTCAGTTTTGTGCAATGTTATCGCATGAGCTGATTGTCAAGTAACTGGCGGTATTAGTGGACCTTATAGCGTAACTTGTGGTTCCTTGGTCCTTTTCTTTACTGTAAATTAATCCTTGGCTCCCCATCTGGCTCTTCTCTTAAGCCCAATTTATGCATGCTTCATTTTGCATACGGGTAACGTGTTACACCACCTGTCGCTAGGAAAAAGTCGATTTGACTTCAACTTGATTTGCCCATTGCCTAACCGTTGCCATACGCATTGCGAAGCATTTCCTCAGTTTTCCTGTATGTGAAATCAAATATAGATGGATCACTTCTGGTATTGTAATGATTGTTGCAATACTGAGTAGGTGACTAGAGGTTGGCTGGTTTATAAATTATTACATGTTTCTTCTTTTCTCTTGCCCAGGGACCTGGACCGTAATCGCATCACTACACTGCAAAGCTGTCTGTTTGCAGATCTGGTTAGCCTTGTTACACTGTAAGTCTGTGTCTTTTATTTTTATTTATTTTTTACTATTGAACACTCACTGCATGATGAACTAAAATGAGGAGAAGAACTCGACACAATGGTACATATCCAGCAGGACGGAGTGGGTGGGACCTGTGAAGCTCAGCCGACCAAGGGTCTCGGCATCACAGCTGCACATGTGCACCAAAGGAAACAAAATGGGGAGTGGAAGGGCGGGGAGGGGAGCAGGAGAGCACTCTAAGGGTAGGAAAGAGAGGAGGGAGGGGAGGAAACCAGGAAACTTGTTATTCCAAGATATGAGTGCAAACAAGTACGCAACAAGTACAAAGATAGCAGTATCACGCGTGGTACATGATGTGTAGCACACTTGCCCACGTGAATGTGGCTCTGGAATATCACTGAGTGTGATGCTGTCTGTGGTGATACGCCCAGCATTCCGCACTTCAGCACTGGGAAAACATCTGACTTGGATGCGTGTCACGGTGGTTATCCTACTGCACTCAATCCTCCATTGGGTTGTGTTGTCTTGGGTTATATGGGCTTCAAAAAAGTCAGTGATGCAGTTTAGGCGTCTTCCTGACCGTGATCGAGGAGTCAAACCTGATATTACTAGTATTCCGCGGCTGAGCCCTTGTCTAACATAGTGAATCAATCAGCTGACTGCTCTCATGGCCTGATTACAGTGGACGACATTATGCATTGCATTCTCACTTTTCACTCTGCAGGGACATCGATCACAACTTGATTCAACAGGTACACCCGAACGCCTTTGTAGGCCTCCAGTCCCTCCAGCAACTGTAAGCACTGTTGCCATGGTTACAAATGGATATTGGATCGGTATATTATAGCTAATGTCGGTACATGTAGCACGGTGCTGGAACTCAACTTGTTCAAACTACTGCGCTTTGTTAGTGTTTAAAAGAACGATTACCATTGAAATATGTATGGTGGATGTGCAGTAGAATCCTTCAGTAATACTAGTACACATTTGAGGTGAGGGATGCACTTGGCAAGAGTGATCTACGGGTGCTACTGTAGACATCTGGTCCAGTCTGCCGATATGGTCAATGGATATTAAAGACCCCTTGATGATCGTAGTTTTAACTCTTTGAGGACTACAGCACGAAGGCTTTCCAAATAACACACTTTTGCAGTTATCAGTTCATCAGTCATATTCTTACTCTGACCTTGCCGTTTTTGTGATTCTTGTGGGGGTTGAAATGGCCTTCAGTCGCAAGCTGTAAATCTCATGTTCGCAACACCAAGTCGGGTCTGTATGTACTGGAACAGTTACCGTGACATTGTATGCTTACCAAATTTCTTGCTTGTGCACTCGGCTTTGGGCATGCACAAACGTCAAACATACACCCAGGCACGCATGCACCCCCCCCCCCCCAATCACGCATGCCCCCCCCCCCCCCAATCAGGTATGCCCCCCACGCTCACCATACTGTGTTTGGTAAGTATGGCTGGTGGGTGTTGTCGGAGCTGGCCATAATTCCGACATGCATAGTGACAGTGCATACAGTTCGGTGCTAACCTAATCTACTGTCTTGGAAATCTGCCATTCCTCTTTCTTTACCAATCCTTGCGGTCCATGCCCAGGAACATATTTCGCAACCGGATCACAAATCTACCGAATGGTGTATTTGCTGAGCTGCCGCATCTCTACTACATGTAAGCATGGCCACTGAGCAATTGGTACAACATGTAAGCCTTGCCACTGAGCAATTGTTACTACATGTAAGCCTGGCCGGCCACTGAGCAATTGTTACAACATAACTACAGTGTACACGGCAATAATTCATGAGTGGCATGAGTGTCCCCGATGCAGTAGAATGACATGTAACATTGCCATTGTCTGCTTGCGAATAGTAGTGATTGTAAAATAGCTTTGAAGTAGTAACTTTGCCGGAAGCACTTCCATTTTCTTCCAACTATCCTTGAAGAAACTCCCCAGTATCTCATTACTGTTGGAGAATCCTTTTTAAATCTGTGCTTACGTGGATGCCCAGCCCCCCCCCCCCCCCCCCCCCCTCTCTTCCGATGGTTTATGCCCGGATTGCCGCTGATTTCAAAGTGGCTTACAGTGTGTACCACGCCTTCTCTGGTGAAGACCCATGCAGAAAGTTAGCAGATCATGAACACAGCCTTTACAGTAGCAACAACAATAGAAAGAAAAAGCGGGCTTGCCAACTGACAATCGCTCTATCAACTCGGAGTGAATAGCAACTGAATAGAGCGCAGCGGAGGACGTTCAGGTTGGTTGTAACTCTGAGTTTCATGCTGTTAGGCAATCATCAGACAACTGAACTGGTGCAACTGTGTACTAATACATGTAAAAAACAAACAATAGGAGGGCAGAGAAAGTGTTTTACAACGAGTTTCACGCACTAAGCGATCATCAGAAAACAGTAATGAGAAATCTGGAACAGAAATCTGGATCAGTATTTCTCATTACTGTTTTCTGATGATCGCTTAGTACGTGAAACTCGGAGTAAAAACACTTTCTCTGTCCTCCTATTGTTTGAACCAGCTCTACCTCTCGGTATTGAGCACTCTCTTGGACAGCCTGGAACCTCTCTGTTTTACTAGTACATGTATATTGGTGACAGTATAGAAGCAGTCCGCATACTACATGCCGCATACACCAGTGTGTGATGCACGATGACATCATCTTTGATTTTCTACTTTCTGGTGCCCAGTGACATCAGCCAAAATGGGATTAGTCAGTTAACACCGACAATGTTCAACGACATCAGCAACATATCTCTGTAAGATTGGCTCCACGGTGTATTTTAATTTCATTGTGTTTCCTTTCATCTCAGTGTGTCACAGTGTACAAGCATGTGTCGGTGGAGGACATGCATATGTGTATGTATGATCCTCTGCCGGGTGAATGCCTGTGTGTGTGTGCGCGCGCGCGCGCGTGTGTGTGTGTGTGTGTGTGTGTGTGCATGTGTGGCTAGTTCGGTTGGCGGGTACACTTATGCCAGATAGCACAGGGGCGTAGCACCCGCTACGACTGGTACGACCGTGGCCGTACCACTTTTCGAAAAGTGTGGTCCGGCCGGAACGTGCAAAACCGTAATAAAAAAATCAGGATCCATCGATGCATATGCGCATCAGACTTTGACCTTTTTCTAGACTCGTAGATCTGTTATGCATCTGCAGTCGGACTGAGTCTACTGTACTCGACTCGACTGCATGCACACTGCGCCAGAAGTGTGTGTGAAGTGTGCCAGAAGTTCCCAGAACGCAGGATTTTGTGTCTTTTTTACAAAATTTTCCCGGGGGAGGTCCCCGGACCCCCTCCAAAACGGCCTTCAGCCGCACCGACCTTCGGTCGTACCACTTCCAAAACCCCTCCTATGCCCCTGTAGCATTGGGTCTGTTGCCAACGGGCTTGGCTGCTTGAAGGTGTAATGTTGTACTTGCCACCTTTGTTGGTTTCAGGGTTCATATACTATCTATTTGAAGTATACATACCTGTTAACCATGGACTTCTTCTTGCTAGATTAAACTCTTGTGTAATCAACAGTGCTAGTGAAGCTTATAATATTATCAGTTCCACTCTGATTTAGCCACCTACACTAGTCGTATGTATTACCTTAACCAGGGGCAGGGGTAAACACAGTTGGATCCCGGGACGGATACAGTACCCTGATACTGTCAATCCTTTTTCTGCACCTTGTCCTCACCCACTTACTGAGGTGCAGTGAGCCCATAAGTGGGATCATTTCCAAGTCCACCCATAGTTTTGGGGATTTCAGGGTGTGTCCGGCGGCCGCTGGGCGGTTCAATAGCCAATTGAGTTATCTTTTCAAGATTCCTTTTCCGGCCTAATCTCGGCTCTCCCATCTCCCAGGGAGATGCACGTGACCAGTGTTTGGCAGTGAGCACGTACAAGTACAGTTGTGTGTTTGTGTGTATGTGTGTGTGTGTATGTGTGTGTGTGTGTATGTGTGTGTTTGTGTGTGTGTGTGTGTGTGTGTGTGTGTGTGTGTATGTGTGTGTGTGTGTGTGTGTGTGTTCATATGCCTGTGTACCTGCTGCTCTCGTGGTGTGTGTAGACGTCTGGAAGGCAATCCTCTCCTTTGCAACTGTGCCTTGCTCTGGCTGCAATGGCTGGCATGGGGCAATCAGAACAGTCAGAACCACCAGTGGCAGAGCAACTGGGGTAACAACAACAACAATGGCCAGCAGCACCAGGTTGAAGGTGCTGTCTGCTTCTCACCACCGCAGATGCAGGGCAACAACCTGGATGGTTCGCAAATACAATGCAGTAAGTCACCGGGTAACCATGGTAACACTGCTCTAGCTATTGTACATCTACAAACATTGTACTGTGACTGTTTCATGTTACCACATTGAATGATAATGATTACAAATGTACATGGAGGATGGGGATCATGGAGGATGGCATAATAGTACTGGCCTGAGGCCCTTAGCATTGTTCTCTGAACTAGATTCGATTACTAAGCTCCATAGATGTTCCACCGGCAGCAATGATCTATAGATATCACTTGCATTTTTTATAACTGTGTTGGTTCAGGTTTCACTTGCATGATCTTACATGCCGGCTGCACAGTGACTTGAACCAGTCACTTGACTTTGTTCTCGGATCCTTCTTGTTTCTTGTTTCCTCTGCTGCTGCCATAGATCTACCACGATCCATGACCGTTATGCCGGCTCAGCTAGTCATTCGTCCTCGTGGCAGTGCTCATTTTGTCTGCTTGCAGGCGGTACAGGGCCATGAAGTGCAGTGGATGCGCAATGGCCAGCACATTCAGCACAGGCCAAACGTCATCATGAACGAAGGCCTGCTGAGTATTCGACATGTGACACAGCACGATGCAGGACGTTACACATGTACCTCTCACGGACAAAACGGCAACACTGGGCACATGGGTGGTCAGCCGGGAATGCCCGCGTTTGGTCCTGGTGTGGGCATGCCCCCTGGAGGTAGGGGCATGCCCCCTGGAAGTGTGGGCATGCCCCCTGGAGGTAGGGGCATGCCCCCTGGAGGTAGGGGCATGCCCCCTGGAGGTGTGGGCATGCCTGGAGGTAGGGGCATGCCCCCTGGTGGAGGTGTGGGCATGCCTGGAGGAGTAGGTCAACCAGGAATGGTCATGGGTGGACCGGGCATGCTTCGGGGTGGAGGCTTCTCTGGTAGTCCTGGACAGTTGCAGAATCATTTTGGACGGCTGGAGCCACTTCAGGTACAGTCAACAAAGGAACCCGCACTTCAAGTGCAGACAGGAAAGGACGCAGCAAAGGAACCACTTCAAGTGCAGACAGGAAAGGAACCAGCAAAGGAGCCACTTCAAGTACAACAGGCAATGCCTCCCGGACAACAAGGCGCAGTGAGTCAAGGTGCGCCTGCCGGAACGCTCACAGTTAGAAGTAAGTATGCCATTGTAGTGCCTGAGTGCAGTCTAATGTATTGGATGGCATTACATACATGTATGAAGCATGCGTGCGGTATATCCGAGGCAAGGTGCAGACATAAGCTGTATGGCCCACGGTTTCAGACACTTGATGATCTCTGTCATTATGGTATTACGGAAGTATCCAGTGTATGGTCAGTACTGAGCAGAAGTGTGTGCATGCGACACCCATTGCAGTTCAAAGGTGGTGTTTGTTGAACAGCTGTAGAAGTGTTTATGGTGCCCACCTTCTCCATTGCTCTTAAAATCATTAATTCCAGTGTTGTAACTTGTAATCCACTTTAGCATGGACTAGGCTACATGATTGTAATTTTTCATTTTCACATTATCGTACATGATTTGTTGTTGCTCTTAACAGACACACGCCCTGCAAGTCATATGTGTACGGCGGCTGCCACAACACTCTCACAACCTGGTAACCAGCGACGAGCGACACTGATTGCAAGATGTAGCTCATACTCAGGACCTGCTCACGCTCAACAGCCAAACATCCTGGCCCACGGTGGTGATGTTCCTGTTGATGGTGGTGGTAAGCTTAACAGAGACATAATGCACAGGCATCATGATCCCCATAATTCCTAATCGTGCCACATCTGCTGGCTATATGATACTTAGTCAGCCCCATTGGAGCAGATGATGTCAAGAAAGTAGCGAAATCCATTCTCAGGAGTGAGATACTAGTATTAGATGAAATTGCTCCTAGAACATTCTCTTTTGGCGATCGGCCTTTGCTCAACCTTTTGCTTCTATATTTGCAGTTAGACAGACACCTTCTCTTGACTGCTGATACGTGTTATTCACAAACGTGACATTTCTTGCCTTCTTGTGTTCCATGTGTTCTGTGTTTCAAGGTGCGATGCCACCAAACCTACCCGGATGGTCAGCATGTGGTCCTGATTGTAGAGGAACAGCCACGAGTAAGTTATGCCTTCACAGTGTGATTGCGTGAGTGCTTTCGGGATCAGTGTGAAGCCAAAACAGGATCACCGTGGCGTTTCAGTTTGCCGCACAATATTCTTGCAGCAGGACAGGATTGGTACAGGATTGAACAATGTATTCTGCCGCGGACATGCAGGGGGGGGGGGGGGAGGATCTGTCCAAAGTTATAACGTTTTCATTCACTGTGACTGTTTTTACAGGCCTGCTTCAGAGCTGCATTTTTTCACGAAAGGCTAGGCCGCCGAAACTGCCTATGTGACTTTCACATCGGCTCTTATTAATCCAGCACACCTAATCCTACATGTAGGATTAAAGGGGAAGTATACCTAACAAGCGAATTTGGGCGAGCCCATTGACGCGGGAGCACAAATAATAATAATAATAATAATACCCTAAAATCAAATTTTCACCAGTTGTAGTCTTCTGGGTGCTGAGTCGAATGGTCTTGGTCCGAGGAAGCTGCGACGCTCCCTTCCTACTTGAATCCCAATCGAACTCGCGCACTTCCACCGAAACTGGGTGACTGCGCCCTACTAGATGGGGATTTGTATGCACAATGTCACTAAAAGCGCCATTTCGTTCTTATAAAAGCACGGATGACCGCGATTGGCCCATATGTTGTAGTCTTTTGGACGCTGAGTCGACTGGTTTTGGTCCGAAAAGGCTGCGATGCAGCGTTCCTCCTTTATTCCCAATCGAACATGGTTGAACAAGCGGTCACGTGCTCCTGGGTGCCCAAATCACCTGGTCACCGCGCCAGCAGGCGACAACTTTCACACCAAGGTTCAACTCGAGTTCAACTCGAGTGACAGGACTGCACCCAAAAAAGGTCAAACAGGCTAGTAAGTTGTACCCTGCAGGCACGGTGACCAGGTGACTGGTGTACGCAGGAGCACGTGACCGCTTGTTCAACCATGTTCGATTGGGAATAAAGGAGGAACGCTGCATCGCAGCCTTTTCGGACCAAAACCAGTCGACTCAGCGTCCAAAAGACTACAACATATGGGCCAATCGCGGTCATCCGTGCTTTTATAAGAACGAAATGGCGCTTTTAGTGACATTTTGCATACAAATCCCCATCTAGTAGGGCGCAGTCACCCAGTTTCGGTGGAAGTGCGCGAGTTCGATTGGGATTCAAGTAGGAAGGGAGCGTCGCAGCTTCCTCGGACCAAGACCATTCGACTCAGCACCCAGAAGACTACAACTGGTATACTTCCCCTTTAACTTTTGTTCGTTAAAATTGAACTTCAACACAGTTTATATGTGTGAACAAATTAATTGACTTGGCAGCATGTCATGCACAAATATGAAAAGCATGATGGACATTTGCCACCCGAGAATAGCAAAAAGCAGCTATTCAACTTAGAAGGCTAGATTCTAGTCAAGGCGCATGCCGACGTTGCATCTCCGGGGGTGAGGTGAGGTGGGGTAGGGGATAGTCAGCACCCAAAAATGGGAACTGATAAAGTTATTTTCCCGAGTCCACATCCGTGATAGTCTTGGTTATGGGTGTTACTCAATATACACACATATGCCGAGCCATCCATGCATATCTTCACATTGGTCAACGTAGGCAACCACCGCGCACTTTCACTGGCATTTTCGCTATCTGGGCCCAAAACTAGAGCAGCCATGTTGTATCATATTCCTATTGATGAACATGGAGAAGAAGTGCCTCCTCTGGGCAGACCAAATCCACATCAGTTTAATGTGTCTACTTTCACTCCTGGTGTCCCGAAGAATGCTGCCGGAGAGGGGAGGGGGCATTACAGATCCTCTTGCTCAATGCTCCATTTGGAACTTGAGCAATATTGTCTTCTCCGTGGTTTCGATCACCAATAACAACTACATTTATGTCACTGCCACTACCTTCATTCTTTTGATCATCCATTGTCACAGAAAGTCCCGGGGCAGAAAACAATAGTGACATGCCAAATCCTACATGTAGGATCACAATTTTGAGAAAACCTCACTTCCAAACTTGGACTGAAAATTGAAATTCACAAGACATGGGCAGCCATGCCAATATCCACAGCCACCCCATGAGACTCAGAATACTATGTAATTTTCACGAAACGAAAAAGTTTAGTTATGACTCTCCTCCACCCACCCATCTCCCTGAGCGAGAAATATATTGACTTGACAGCTAGAGTGGATTGAACGAAACTCTCCTCGACCCACCCACCCATAAACGGAACTTTTTCGTTTGTGTGAAAGATGGATAATTATGGACAGTCCCTCTAACAAACAAATGACTTGTATCAAACGGTACAAACTGAAATGCAACGTTTGCCTCCAAGGAGGCGCTTGACATTAAGCATGTGTATACATATACTTGGTACGTTCGGGCCTGGTTTAAATCTGGCTTTGGAAATTTTATTTTTCATTGCTATCAGGTTCGGCCTCATTTCCTCTGTGCTGCGCTGATGTGTCCACAAAGGACGAAGCAGTTCTGTGTCCGCAGATTGAGTACTTGTACATGTAGTATACCTGTGGTACAGTAGACTGTTGCTGCTGCTGCTGCTGCTGCTGCTGTTGCTGCTGCTGCTGCTGCTGCTGCTGTTGCTGCTGCTGCTGCTGTTGCCGCTGAGCATGCCAAACGTTAATCTGCAACACCCTCGTGTTAACTGTTAGCATGTTGTCTAATTATCCCTTAAAATGCACATCGTTGTTGTTGGTAATGCTAAAATAGTAATGTTGCTGCTGCTGCTGTTGTTGTTGTTGTACTACAGGATGGCGTCCTTCCAGCTGGCTCCTACTTTGCAGCATGTTCATCTCTCTGTTAGTGCAGCGTGCAAACCGGCTTGGCTTTCCTGTACCGTTTGTGACTTGAACAGCAATTGTGCGATGCAGTCACAAACACATTGAGCAATGTAATGTCGCATTGCCTGGTACATCACCACAGCATTAATTCCTGAGTACCTTGAGAGTCTTGATGATGTTGAGTGCCGAGATAGCTTGGCTGTAACTGATCATTCTTCAGCCAGTGAACGGTCGGCAGTGGAGACCAATCAGCTTGCTCCTTGAGCTCCGGCTTATTTCTTATTTCCTGTCAGGCTTTACACTGATCATTCTTCACACACTAGGCTATCATGCGGTGACTTGATTGAGTTCTACCTTGTCAGTGACCATTCTAATTATACAATGTACTGGATGTTTTGGTAGAGGTCCTCTTGTATATCAAGCTGAGGATACAACTGTTGTAGTATCATACTGCCTGATGCTCATTATTATTTTTTGAATGATCACACACCTTGAATCTCAAGCCTGTCGTTGATGGTCATAGAATAGCAGTGTGTGTGTGTGTGTGTGTGTGTGTGTGTGTGTGTGTGTGTGTGTGTGTGTGCGTGGGTGCGTGCGTGAGTGTATGAGCACAAGTTGCTAGCTGTTCGCTATCATCGCTTCCGCGATGGGCAGGTCTGAAGTCTGAGGCGTGTGTGTGTGTGTGTGTGTGTCTGTGTGTGTGTGTGTGTGTGTGACGGTGTGTGTGTGTGTGTGTGTGTGTGTGTGTGTGACGGTGTGTGTCTGTGTGTGTGTGTGTGTGTGTGTGTGTGTGTGTGTGACGGTGTGTGTGTGTGTCTGTGTGTGTGTGTGTGTGTGTGTCTGTGTGTGTGTGTGTGTGTGTGACGGTGTGTGTGTGTGTCTGTGTGTGTGTGTGTGTGACGGTGTGTGTGTGTGTGTCTGTGTGTGTGTGTGTGACGGTGTGTGTGTGTGTCTGTGTGTGTGTGTGACGGTGTGTGTGTGTGTGTGTCCCAGCTACACTGTAGTTTGGTTCAGTGATGGGTACACTTATGCCAGATAGTGTTGGGCCGGTCTGTTTTGGAGTGGCAGCCCATTTTTAAAAAAGTCACACGCACTCGCAGGGAGCCTACGGTCTTGCCCCAACGGCTCAATGTGCACTGTGACATTATCAAGCCCCCAGCCAGCCAGCCAGCCAGCCAGCCAGCCAGCCAGCCAGCCAGCCAGCCAGCCAGCCAGCCAGCCAGCCAGCCAGCCAGCCAGCCAGCCAGCCAGCCAGCCAGCCAGCCAGCCAGCCAGGGATCGATGCCCAGATTTACATGTAGCTAGTGCATCATGGGCCGCGGGATCATCATGTGCCGGGATCCAATTACTTATTTCCGATATGTTCAGCTGTCGTGTTGCATCTCTCACAGTCTTGATGTACACTGTGACATCATCAATGTAGATGTACATGAGCTTGAAAAGCACACGGCATGCAGTCGTTGGGCTGAGGCAGGGAGTCGTATAAACCCGGTCCGAAGTTAGTTTATACGGGGTGCACTCGGCTTCATGGCCTTCGACAACGCGGTGAATGTACGCCCATTCGGCAGGAGAGAGACCGGGTAAACGCACAATAAGCTGCTCGTGGGTATGCTTTAGCAGCATCAGGGAGGTGTGGTTAACCCACAATGCTACTTTGCTGCTGGCAAACTGCTGTACACCCGCTTCATCACCCATGCATCCTCCTAGGAATCGGCTGGATAGTGTGACTTCCACCTG